CTATTAATTTTTTATTTATATACCTAATATTATTTATTCATAAAATCTTAAGTGAACCTTTTTGAATTTTGCATGTGAAACAAACTTTAAATTTCTATTGTTCGAGTATCTCAAGCGTGTAACTTCTCCTCTCGCTAGTTTATAAACTCGTAATTGTGGAAAGTTTTGGTCACGTCTCCTACTGCCATGCGGACTGCTGCAAACTATAAAGTTTTCGCTGACGCGTGGATAAGTATTTTGGCTATCAATTTAAGAAATTTCGTATAGAAAAGCCACAAGTTGGGGTGTGTAGGAACAAGTCAAAAGATTCTACTAAGCAATTCCAAAAAGTTTTTTTAATCAGAAAGTTATTGGAGTGATTGTGAGATATCTTTTACAAAACTTATCAGGGGACGTCTGTTAGTAAAAGAAATAAATGCTTATTCTACATATATTGTTATACATATAACAATAATACTCCATATGTATTCCCACCATGTAATGTATCTAATATCCTTAATTTATTTATACCCTGTATTTATCTAATATCCTATATGTATCCTGTGTAATAATATAACTTTTGTGAAATAATTCTTCTTTTTTTTTTAATTAACAATATGTCTTTATTAAATCGCTTTTATTGAACCCTAACAATAAGTTTTAGAATCTTAAGAACTAATTAACATATATTACAAATTATTTTATACATATGTACATACTACAATAAAATATAAAAAATATTTGTAAATTATTTAAAGTTACCTCTGTATAAGTAGTCAGTTTAAAATAATAAACAGCAGACTATCGAATGGTGATCGCGACTTTTTAAAACAAAAAAAAAATAACAAATACATAAGTTTATTTATTTTTCACTAAATTTTGCTACCAAAGGGTAGGAAAACATTTTAGCCAGACTGTGGCAGCATTCATTCATCCATACATTCTGATGTGTGAACACATTATCCAGAAACAGCTTTAATAATTACAGGGCGCTTTACGAGGGCTGCTATATATATTTCTGGCCTAATAATGAAAGTGCGAATATTTATCAAATTGTTGTATTGTTTTTCAAAGTATTCTCCAGCCCGATTTACACACTATTCCATGCGCTCAAACAAATTGTCGATGCACTTTTAAAAGAAGTTATTGGGTACCAAGTCAGGGCTGTACGGCGGAAGACCCATCAATTCGACGTTTTGACCGGTCAAAATGGAGCTGGTTTGAGCCGATGTGTGAGAGCTTGCGCTGTCATGGTGAAGAATGATTCGTCTTCTCTTGTTCGTTTTTTGAATTTCTCCGAAGACTTCAGGCAAACAAATTGTGGTGTACCACTCAGAAGTGACCGTCCTTCGTTGCTCAAACGGGAACAGTCGCCACATGACCAGTTTTCCCAAAGGAACAGGCGACTATTTGCTTCGATGTGCTTCTTCCACGAACAACTTTCGTTGGATTTGGTTCGTCTTCGAAGACCCACACGGTTGATTGTTGTTTTGTTTCAGGCTCATACGCATAGATCCATGATTCTTCACCTGTGACGATCTTATAAACGTCTTTTGAAGCACCGCAAACGTATTTTTTCAACATTTCTTTGCACCAATGGACACGAGCCTTTTTTTGAGCGATTGTGAGGGATCCAACGAGAACAAAACTTTTTACGGCCAGGTGTTCATGCAATATCGAATGTATGCTGGTGAGAGAAATGCCTAAGGATGCCTCTATCTCACGGTATGCATTATCTTGCATTATCATTTCAAGCACGGCATCAATGTTCTCTGGCACAACGGCCGTTTTTAAACGATCTTCACAGAATTCATCGCTGAGCGAGCGTCGGCCACGATTAAATTCATTAAACCTGTTTTTCACAGGTTTTTTCACCATCCCTGCTATAAGATGGTGCTTCATCACCATATAAAGATTTAAGTTCATCAATGCACTCTTGTCTATGCTGAAACTAGCGCAAGACTTTCAGAGGACCGAACAAGCGAAGTACTCAAACCTCTGACACAGGTAACACATCACTCAATATGTCATGTGATTAACTAAAAGAACAATTTTTTCTACCAAAAATTGAATTTGCTCATCAATATAATCTCCTTCACGGGCAATACAATGATTTCAACGCTTCTCTAACTTCTCGATGCCGCGCTGGTAGAAGGATTTGTCTTTTACCTCAAAATAGACAGTTTCAGCAATTACTTCTTTATTTCTTCCCGGCGAGCATTTTTTTTTAGATCAGCGAATAGCCAGTAGTCGCTGGGGGCTAGATCTGGACTATATGGTGGATGAGGAAGCAATTCGAAGTGTAATTCGTGAAGTGTTATTTTGCCATCGTTTTTATTGACTTGTGACATGGTGCATTGTCTTGGTGAAAGAAAACTTTTTTCTTTTTTTCTTATGCGATCGTTTTTTCAAACGATCCAGTAATGGCGTGTAGTAGTTACTATTGATGGTTTTTCCCTTTTCGAGATAGTCAAAGCAGATTATACCATGTCCATCCCAAAATTCTGAAACCATAACTTTCCCAGCTGTGCCTTTGAACGCTTCGGACGTGATTCACCGACTGCAGTCCACTCAGATGATGATTGTTTTGATTCCAAACTGAAGTGATGGATCCATGTGTGATCGACTGTGAGTAAACGCGGCACCCACTTTGAAAAGAGCTTTCTCATGGTCAAATGTTTATGCATAATTGTAAACACAATGCCTTCTGATAATTTTACGGTCTCAGGAATCTCACGCAATTTCAGTTTACGATAACCAATTTCTGGACTTTTGTGATGTTTTCTGAAGTAACCACCTGAATTGGACGACCAGAACGTTCACCATCATCGGTGTCTGTATGACCACGTTTAAATTCAGCAAACCGATAACAAATGGTTCTTTTCGATGGAGCAGAGTCCGGATAACACTTTTGAAGCCATTTCTGAGTTTGTACAGTATATTTTTTCATCAAGAAGCAAAAAAATTAACACACAAAATTGTTTTGAATTCATTCTTTTTCAAAAAATAACAAAAGTAGCTTCACTTAAATGGCTGTCACTTTTTTTTGACTAATCGAAATGTCATGAAATTTTACACAACGTCTTTTGAAGGTTGCTACTTCATAAACATGGATTTGACAATGGCAGCGTCATCTTTGTGTTAGTCACACGACGTATTGAGTGATGTAATATATAAACTCCTGGATGGGTACTTGACAAGGAGAGCAAAGGAAAGGTTGCGAAAATTAACAACCAGTAGAATAGCTAGGATCATATGTAGACATATATTCGAGGAAAAGTACATCGAATATATTATAACGTTTAATCGATAGAACTGTAAAGCATTAATTGACGCGTCACTCTCTGGTCGCATAACATGCAACAACCTATACTTAACTTGTAACTATGCTTGTAACAAATACAACGACCTTGATGCAAAGAAAATTCTGGAGCATCTGCTGTGTAACTGCCCATCTTTCTGGAGAACTCTACAAAAATACTTGAAAGCTATCAGACTTACAAGACTGAAACACATGCGTAAGGTTTCTCTTGAACTCTTAATACACATCGCTAATAACATGCGCATCCTGAGTGATGCATACTATCGATAGAAGTAAACCTCTGACCATTTCAAAATTCAAAATTAACACCTATTTGCATTACAGTTGAAGTAGATATCACAGTTTGCTCTTTTAGACCTACCTTGTACTGTCCATCGCATTTCCTGATTGATGGTGATGTCAACTTTTCCTTTTTTGAGAGCTTCCGCTAGTTGAATAGAGGCACCCTCCTTAGTTCGTTTTCGAGGATCGTCAACATTCGAGTTCCAATTCCGAGGCATCATTACATCATTCACCAAATTTAAAGTCTTGAAGATAGGACTCGCTGTACGTACTATAGTTCATTACCCAGCGTGTGTCAGGTAATTATCCAGCTGTGAGACTACTTCGAATAAGGACGACAAATACAACATAATATTTATCAAGTTAAATGCATTCAGACAGGTTACTTTGTGTACTCGATCCTTGGGACTTGCGACTCCACTCCTGTTTAAATACTAATAATAAAATAAACATCCCTTCTTAACCCTAGATGTTTACAGTTGAGCTATTATCATACTTTCAATTGTTGAAGAAAGTGTATTCTGTCCAAAACTTGAGATACCTCTTTCACCTTTATATCTTGCTGAAGAACCGTATAAGCTACTAGGCAAAAGATAACGAAGTAGCGTAAATTAGAGAACAGATCCAAAATTCGATAAGGCAGTGCCGAAATATTTTTCAAACAAACGACCTTTAACGCAAAAACTAGGCTACAAATAGTCCCTCTTAAGGTTAACTCAGTAGCACAAATTATTTTCCCCTCTATTTGTTTGTCTACATTATTATTATTACATTATATATATTATAATTCACTTATTTTATATAAACATTTTAAACATTTAGGCCATGTGCAAGTTCGAGTAAATTGAGATAAAGTAAATGGAAATTTCCTAGGGATTTTTTTTACACTGCACTTATGTAAATATTTATTTATTTATTTATTGCACTTATTTATTATTTTTAGTTAAAAATATTCAAACTTTTTTATTTTTATATATAATAAAATTTTCACAATGGTAACCCCTAATTTACCTAATTTTTATCTAATTTACCTTTCCCTAATTCTGGTAAATACTAACATTCGCTACCATACCGACATAATTTACTATTTCCCTGAATTTACCATCAATTTACTCAAATTCGCAAACGGCCTTAATGTAAATATTAATCTAAATATTTTTTATTTTTCTATTAAAATATACTAATATCTCTTTGTGTTGGATTATAGGAATTTGAAAAGCTATTGTCAAATTAGAATGGAGTGATCCAATTAATTAATGTTAATGTAGATATATAAGTAAATTTAAATTAAGTGTTTTTTTCGTAAATACTTAACTAACGACAACCTTCTTGCTTAACTTATTCTTTAATAGAATGTAATAGATTAAAAATTAAAAGTCAGCAAAATGAAATTTTTATTTTTTATATTTATTCATGAGTATCAAGCACTATATAATTGAAGAGAATGCACTATATCATTCGTTGAAGAGAATGATAGATGCTTTAGTTCTTACTAATCAGTGAAAATAGTAAAAGATTTTGGGGTGCTAACACTTTCTGTGGTAACACTTTCTGGGATAACACCTTCTGTAGCAGAAGATGAGTATGGATTATCGAAATAAGTATGAAAAGCAGCATCGAGCTCTCGTATTTTTTCAATAAAAATGCTAACAGCTTTTAGAGCAATATTTTCAGGAAGCATTGCACCAGTTGACTCTACATCAAAATAAAAATTAGGCTTGTAAGTATAATCGATTACTGGGCGTGGGTTGTCTTCATCTTCTTCAATATTTTTCCAAGGTTCATCATCTGGCCAATCCGCTGGAGTATCATATACTGTATGACGCAAAAAATTTTCGCGATCATAATCGAAACCAACACCACAGACTGGACTCCATTTTGAATGCTCTTTTCCTATACCTTTTTTGGCTATGCAACGAACTGTGAGGCCTAGATTTCCACGAATTTTTGCTATAACAATTTCATCACTTGGCTTTGGAGTCGAATTATCCGGAGTGAGACGTTGAATTGATGGACATACAAGTTTATGCTTAGAATTAAGGTTGCCAGTTGTTATTAATTGTGTTTCACTTGTTATGCCTTTAACATCCAGATTTAATTCAACGCTACATGCTGCGCAAAATCCTGTGCAAACACAATCACGTGCATATAGCATAACATCCACGACCCCATCAGAGCACAATGGAATTAATCCCATACGATGAGCAATGAACTCATCCGACAGATTTGTGGAATTTTCACCTATTTCAACCAAATCTATAGCAATGGTAGGCACTTCTGATATCATTATCCGACGCAACCCATTTGCAATGGCTAATGAAATACCACTCACCATAAATTTAATTCGCATGTGAGTTAATTCACTAATCTCCAATACACCTTCCATTTTGTTTAGTATCTGGAACTCTAAAATAATAATGGAATTATTCACATTAAGCTTATATTATCTAAACTATTATAAAACTTTTTATTTACCAAACACCAACAATATTTACTTATTTAATGTTTGATTAATAATTATTACTTTAATTTGTTTTCTATATTTAAATTGCTTTCTATAGAAATTTCTAGACTTTCTTATTGAAGAGATGAAACAATATTTAATAACTGTTTATTGTGATGTTTACAACATACATATATTATATATTTAACATATATATAATACATTATAAATATAATACATATTGTTATAATATATAATAATTTAATGGTCTTTAGTCACTTCCAAATAAAATATTTTAAAACCCTAAATAGCTTTTTTGTTCTTTTAAATTAAAATGAAACTTATTAGTTCAAAAATTAGCTATTGTTAATCTTTTAAATTAAAATTAATATTAAATTAATCTGATTAGTTCATAAGAAAGAATAATTTACTTACATGAATAACAGCAGTCTTCTTCTCGACAATTACTCAAAGCACTCTATATGAAACGCAATGGATACTAATAATCGACTTATCGATATGCCAAAAATATTCGCATAAAATAGTTTATAAGGTTTACACAGCATCAATCATAAACACCATTTACAGTAAATTCCCAATTTATTTAGGTTTTACATGTAAAACAATATGCTCAGAGAGAAGTGGCATAATAACGGGATTCACACGAGAGTTTTGTCTTATAACCGTCAAAAACTAGGACCGGAGCCATTTTGCAGCAACAACATTTGAGAGCTAAAATTAGAAACAAAACTCTCTTGTGAATCCAGTATAATTGATAAGTTTTGTTGCTACGTTATACCAATATAAGTTGGCATAAATCATAGTCTAATATTCTTAAACCCATTTATTTTTCGGTTCTCCTAATATTTCTTTACAAGTCTTCTTAATAAAATGACAATATTGTGGAAGTGCAGGAAGCTGCAAACTTACATATTTACTTTCATATAACATTTGATAACAGCGCTACATAGGTAGAACTTTAGATTTATCCATAAAATTCACATTAAAATCATAATTGGGGCATTCATAGATGCAAAGACCTAAGGACAAAAAACTGCAACTGCTCGTGTGAATTGCATTTTCTCTTGCTTTCTGTAAACAAAATAACATATTTTATTATTCAACAAATATTTATCAGTTATATATTTATTTAAAAGACTCTGAATTAATTTGCTACCACTAATCTTAATATTGTATCCAAATCTCCAATCGATAATTTAACTCAAAAACTCAAATTTTCACAAGCCGGTGCTCTGTAACTGAAGCTCAGTCACCTGCATGGGCTTATTACCTACTACTTTTGCAGCTCAAAGCTCATGCCTTCAGTATATGCCATCATTCACTCCTGATTGTATCAACAGGAATCCTATCCATCCGCACTTATTCAAACGAATCAACCACTGCTTCACGCATAAGAACAGTAACTCCCATGGTAGCGTCGACACCGCCAATTACCACCAGCAATATCTAGATATTAGTAGCTACTATCCAATGTGAACAACATTAATATAAGCCTTAGACAAGAAGAAGAAATCCTGCAAAATATATACATGAGGACAACATCCTGTTTTTAATTTCTTAAAAACCCCTGATTAATTACAAATATATTTGGTCAATATTTGTCTACTTTTGTGTCTATTATGAAACTATTATAACAGTCTTTCAAATGATCAATTTTCTATCATTTTTCTTGCAATTATTTGCAAAGCAATATTTTTTGATTTTGTTCACTCTAAAAATCATGATTTAGCACTCAATATTAAAACTATTAACTTTCACCACGATGTGGTGAGTAAGAAAACCTTTCTTATTATGACATCTTGTGCATAACATAATCGCAACAAAATAATTATCAAATGTGTATTCTTCACATGTACCATTTTCTAGAAGGTACAAACTGAATATTGGGTTCCTATCCATAAAAGAAACTGTTATCGAATGATCTGATGACCGACGATAGTGTAATAGCCATTCTGGCCAAAGACTCTCTCAAGTTTTCTAGGATTCACATACCTACACTTGCTTCTCTTGCGGCGGTTCGCATTACTCTCTCCACCTCCCACCGCCCTGATCTTAACATCTTTTGTGTCTACCACACTCCCTCCATTGTTAACGTTATTAACCCAAACGAGCTGGGCACCCTTGCATTCTTGTCCCCGAACCCTTTCGTTATGGGGGGTGACTTCAATAGCTACCACCCCTTGTGGAATAATTCTAACTCCTGCTGTAGTGGCACCAGACTTTTCAACTGGCTGACTAGCAGCTCAGTCACTTCTATTCTTAGTGTGGTAGCTTCCTCGGTTCCGTCTCATATCAACAATATCATTGACTGTTTTCATAGCGAATAATCGCCTCCTCCCCTGCCTCGATGATCCGCGTGTCATCGACGGCGTATCCGTTCACCAAGCTGTAAGGCTTGCGCTTCACGACTGCAGAGTTACTCGTGCCTGCCCCCGCACTTTTTTCAACTTTCCCAGCACCAACTGGTCAGAGTTTAATCTCACTCTTGATCATCTCTTTCTTCCGCTGAGCATCCCCGAACACAGGAACATGATTCCTGCGGATTTCGATTCTGCTGCCGATTCTCTTGAAAACATTTTTGCCTCTACAATTGATGAGAATGTTCCGAAGGTGCATGTTCGGTTTATACCCTCCACCTCATTAAACTGAGAAAATCGCTTCGCCGCAGAACTTATCGTCTTAGACAGATATCCTCCATGCACGTTCATGCATCCCAAGCCATTCTCTAGAACCTGGACACCCAGAGAGTCAACCAAGCCAGGTTCAATTCCTGTAGTGCCAAACTTCGGGCCACCCAGTGCCAGTCTGACGTCTTCAGTACGATCAGCCAAATCTGTGAATCTAATAGGTCCATCTCTGACCTTCGTTATGGCAACACCATAGCTTATGATGACATTGATAAGGCCAACGTCTTTGGTGAAGTGTTGTGACTAATCACAGTCTTACGGCTGGCCTAGGCGAACACCACTTTACTTCTACTACGAACTCTGTAGTCCATGGACTAGTCCATGGATGCTTTCAATGAGTGCGTTGTCACTTTCTCCTCGCAGTTCCCAGCCCACTACATCAATGTTGAAGACACCCAAGAGTTCCTCACTCCTTCAAACCTCTCCGACATGCTTCGGCTCAAAGCGTCCAAAAAGTCATCTGGCACTGACTGTGTGTCTTTCTACGCCATGCGACATTTCTCACCTCTCTTCTTTAAAAAGTGCGCCATGATCTTCAACCATGCGTACAACACTGGTTGCTTCCCCCAGGCATGGAGGAAGGCCATAGTATATCCTATTGTCAAAAGTGGCAAACCAAAAGTTGACCTCATCAGCTATCCCCATTTTTCTTCTTAACTCTATCAGCAAACTGTATGAAGCTTTCATAGCCAGTAAGCTGAAGTCCTTCTTTTCGAATAATAATATTCTTTCACATTACCAGTTTAGCTTTAGAAGCCAAACTTCCTCTGTCTATGCCCTACATCATCTCCAAAATGAGATATGCGTAGGCTTTTTCAATAAGCAGCTCAATACTAGAGACCTATTGCGACGACTTCATCGAAGGAAACCAAATAATTTGATTGTCGTATAGTCTAAAGTAGTGGTTGTAAGAATCATTTAGTAAAAATATTTGATGACATCAAAGGCAAACTACTCGTTAGTTTTTGTGTAACCAGTTGAAGTGTTAAAAAACATTGATATATAAATATTGTCCACTGGAAAAATGGACAAAAAATTAATATTTGTCCAATAATAAATAAACAATAATAATTTTTGAAATATATGAATCACATTTTCAATATTTCAATATTAGAATAGAAATAAAACGGGGTACTTGCTCCCAGCGGAGCAGAGCACTGCGACCAGATTGATCTTTTGTACTGCAACTGACCCTAACCGAACAGAAGACATTCCGCTTTTCGAATGAAAGCCAGAATGTCGTCCGTTGAGGACCTCCTAATGTCAGAAGGAGAAAGCAGCTCTTCTCCCAGTGACTTCCTCCACAGAGAATGTGACTGGTACTCTCGTCTGCTTCTAAGCAGAGTCGACACTCCATCTCTTCGGACAGACCTATTTTATTAAGCTAATAACGTAGTCCATGGTAACCCGTTAAATATCCCACCAGCAATTTCAAGTCTGATCTGCTAAGGAGGGATGCCTTGCTATAACTATATGGGTATTTCAATATTAGTACGCTCTGAAAGTTAATGTATAAATAGTTAAACTTTTCTTAGACAAAAATTATTGACTGACCTGAGATTATCTGAAATCTATACGTAAAAAATTTAAAAATATGACTGATTATAAACAAAGCATTTACATATGTTTATGTTTATTTTACTTTAAGCCAACAAAAACCATTAAAGCGTTTTATTTCATATTCGTAGTCTTTTTAAACTCTTCTAATTCCTTTTGCAAATTTCTTTTGGCTTGGAAAATGTCATTTATTATTGACCGAATTTTTAACAACATGTATTCTCCTATGTTAGCCAAGTCCTCAAGCTCCTCAGCCAGTGTCTGTTGTTCTGCTTCTAGTCTCTTTAAGCTTTGATATTGAAGTTCAGTGGAACTATCTTCATTGGGCAATGAATCAATCAAAGTTTCAATATCCTTTGCACATATAAATACTGATTGAGACATTTGTTGTCCAAGACCAATTGCGACAGATTCACTTGCTGCAGGCATTCCCAAACCATTAGAACAGCTATTGCCAATGAAATCAATAGTGTTGCAGAAATATATAGATTGCTAAAATGAAAATGGTTGAATCGAATCTATTTTAATATTAATATTAATAACAACTTACTTGAGAAACAGCATCTTGCAATTGAGTTAAACGATCAGCCATATTGTTATCTTCCTATATATGTCTTTATATTCCGAATACAAACTTCTGAATGTTTGGACATTCGATGAAAGTTTTTTACGGTTCTATCTGATCTTGAATTTGAGAATTTTATAATATGTATACACTTAAAAATGCAAAAAAAGTGTGTCAACGATGTTTGCAAAATTAACATCAAACGTTTACACTTTACAGCAAACATCACATGACTTTAAACAAATACATAAATAATATACAATATAAAATTAAATTTAACTTAAAAAATTATAACTTATTGTTTATTTTGTCTCCAATTGAAAAATAATTGTATTCTTTTGAAACTATTATCGCACATATCTGTATAGATTTTATACAGAAATTGCCTTATTGCTACACTTTTTATTGAAATAGGTAAATGCGTTAATATGTCCACTCACACGTAAATAAATATATTTATATATTTATTTATTTATTTTTAATTAAAACTCATTTAAGCTTTTAGGTCAGAAAAACTAGTCCTTAAATACTTGAAATCTTACACAAATACTTTTGTACAATAGATCTTAGTCATTTGATCTTAGTCATTTCTACGATGGGCTCAAATCAGACTATTGTATTCTATAGCAACCATATAAACTGAACAATTGGATGTGTGTGTTAATATAGATATTAAAATAAAATAATGTACACAAAGTTTTTGTAATCTTATAAAAGAATGTACCGAATTTTATTCATAACGGTCCAGATTTGAATATTATTGCTATATAAACTTCCCACGATTATTCAAACGTATGTACCAACTGAAGCTGCTAATGAAGAATCAAAAGCTGATTTCTACTATAGACTCAGCGTCTAGGGATCAGCGTCGATAGACTCTGAACGATAGGGATCATTGTCAGCGTCAACACTAATTTTGAATACATCATTGACAAATTGGAAAGGATATATGAACCAATTGATCACTTGATAAAATTGTGCAACACATCCGACTTATTTATTGATGGAACACAATTCATTCTGGATTCCTCCAGTGGGCTAAACTGAAAATCAAATCGACTGTATATGCATAAGCAGAAAATGGAAAAAATGCTTTTAGATGTTGGTGTAAAAACGAGTGCTGACATAGAATCTTAAAGCCACACCGAAAAAGTTTAATGCAACAACATACAAAGAACCTTAAAGGAATCAATTCAAATCTAATTTATACCAAGTGTGTCAAAATGTATTAGGCTACCACCCAAAAGCAACATGGATGCTAATTGAAGGTAGAAGAGATGCTAGTAAAAAAAGAACCCATCGAAACTACGAAGATTAATACCGACAAGCCATGCTCACTTACAACACATAAAACATAAATGTCGAAAAGGCCTACAAGTCTGATAAACGAGCCTGGTTCGATAAATTAACCTCTGAAGGATATAGGAGTCAACAAGATATAAAAAGACTTTATAAAAAAACCCGAAAGATTTCAGGAAAAAGAAAAACCATTTAAAGCCGAATTATATCAAATAATGGAGTACTCATAACATCAGAAACTAAGCAACTTTAGATGACTTTAGATAGCATTTTTCAAACATATACACTATATGTCTTCTTCACCTTCTCTTCCTTGATATTTGGAATCAAGGGGCTGTACCCAATTACTAGCTAACAGATGTCCTTATCATCATCCTGAAAAAGGTGACATTTCTCTTTTGTATGTAGTAATTACTCTAACCATTCATGCAAAGACCAAACTAATACGGTGGAGGTCATTATAACTAAATAATTGGTGTCACAACAACTTGCATTTATCGGTTTTCGTATTGCTTTCGATAGCATACACCGCCCAAAGCCCACGCGGTATCACGCAAAAGTTGCAAAATGGGCAATATTTCGATTACTTTGAAACTAATTTCGGCGCTCAACAGGATTGTTCGTTTTTACCGATTTATTTTCTGATTGTCATTGACAATGTGTTGCAATCATGTTTTTAAGACAAAAGAAGATATCTTTTCTGAAACTTCCAAGAATACCTTGAAGACCTGGCTTATGCTATTATTCAGGCACTCCGACATGCAGTCAAAAATAAATGTTCTGGGTTCGGCTGCCAATGATCTGTGTTCAGCTGCCAATGATTTGTGTTCGGCTGCCGATGGAGCAGGTCTTAAGATAAATACAAATAAAACTAAAGAGATTAAAATAAACGTCATAAGTAACACAGACTGTACAATACGAAATAATGGATGCGGTAATTTTTTTTTCTCTCACAGAGTAGTATTATATCCAGTAGTGCCAAAAAAGATATATTTGCCCGCATAAACAAAACAAAGAGCACATGCGATCAGCTAAGAAAGGGGTAGCACTTGTCAATATTATCAATACACACTAATCTCAGAACTTTCAAACGTGACGTCATTCCAGTGCTATTATATGATTTTGAAACATGGCTCAGAATAGAAACAATTATACAGAAAATACATAACTTCTTTAACAGATGTCTGAGAAGAATTAAAAGAGTTTGGTGGTCAAATGTTATAACCAATGAAGAATTCCACCGAAAATGCAACATCGAACCAATGTCAAATTTTATGCGAAGTCGCACTGGATTAGCCATACGCTTCGTAAGGATTCAATCGATATATTTTGCCAAGCAGTGGATTAGAAGCCACAGGATAAATGAAACCGTAGACGTCCAAAAAAATCATAGACACAAGCGCTACATGCCGAGACTTGTTCATCAGGAAATTCGTAGAACGAATTAAAAATAATCGCAAACAATCGTATGAGATGAAAATGTGTCACTGAGGTCCTATGCTTCTCAAAGAGATGAAGGAACTGACAACAATAAACTGCCTATTCTGACATGTACTTCAAAATTGGAATTTGAGTATAAGTTATAGAATACAACTTTTGAAACAAAAATGATCGATTGATCTGTTTAGATTTAAATAAATACAGTTCAGTACAGGCTTCAGGAATACTTTTTTCTTACATTTTTTGTTCAGGTCAGAATTTTTTTGTTTTGTAGAATTTTAGATTATTATTTAAATAAGGAAAAGAACAACTCGAACGAAGTATTCCATTTGAACAGGATAAGGCGAGTTTCCAGAAAATATCCAAAAATTAATAATTGATTCTAAGTGTGGATTTTTAGTGGCATTATATTCACATTCTCTATCTTGTGAAAGTAACAGTATTGTGGAGCTCCAGGTAGTTGCGAACTTAAATATTTAATTTAATATACCATTTAATAATAGCGCTACGTAAGTAGAACTTTAGATTTATCCATAAAATTCACATTAAAATCATAATTGGAGACGCCACTCTTGCTCAATAACGACAATCGAGAATCGAAGGACGAAAAGTGACCCAAGTCGTTTCGTGGACTACTTCGGCTAATCCTTCAATTGAGTGGAGCCACTTGTTGGACGGTACGCTGTTCCAACGTCCCACAATATATAGATATTAGACTTATTCGACGATAATTAACGTGAATCGGCGTGTCGCTTTATTCGAGGATAACACAGAGCGATGAATTCTCTCATCAGTACATCGCCGCCGTTGTTTAATATTTCTGCAGGAATGACATCTACTTCTGTTACCATGTTGTTCTTCAGTCACTGTATAGTAACACGCATTTCGGTTTGGCTAACACTAACACCGAAGACGTGTTGGATCTCTTAAATAAATATTATTTAGCTATAGTTAAGGAATATTTTTAAGACTTGATTGGTATAGCGAATGTTGTCGAAGAGATGAATAAATTTCCGTAAAGCAGAAATTGAATATGTCCCTAAGCAATTCGATTAAATATTATATATAAAATGTGAAAGCTTATTATACTTATTATTATACTCAATGCGACAAATGAACTCTATTGAGGCAAATCTCAATTGAGTAAAATTTAATTTTGCCAGAATTATTTACATTAAGCTCAAGTTCAAGCTAGTAAAAGAATGGAACTGCAGGGAAAAAGTCAACAGCTGCATTCATAATAATAAGAATACAAGCTTCAGATGTCAGTGACAACAAAAACAACAGATTTTTCATAACAGTTTAGCCCATTACTTGGCGCACGGAGGCGTGTGAGGAACATGAATTTACGAGTTCAACTGAAGAAAAGAAAATCCGTTCTTCATTTACATTTGAATTTAACATATATGAGATTTTAAGTGAATAGTGTTTGTATATTTTTATCATTTTCTGTACAATATTTCCTTTGTTACACATGCATTTTAGTGAAAGTGAAAACATATCTGGCCTTGCCGGATATCTTCTAATGGCAACAGACTATATATATATTCTTACTTTTTGCCATTGTCAAATATGTATGTACGTATTTTACGGACTTGTTTGCTTCATGAGATACTTTATTTTACTATTTCACTAAACAAGCTAAAAAAATTTTTATAAAATAAGATACTGACAATGGCGAAGGTCATTTCTTTAGAGGTTTTAAAGTGGCTTAATGCAGTGCTACACAAAACAATAGTGACTTGGATGGGGAAAATGGAAAAATGTGGAAAAAATCAAACGAGAGGAAAATAATGTTGGTAATGTGACACAAATGTGGTTTAAGTTGGTGCTTCGTGGTTGGCATGAAAAATGTAACACCCTAAGCAGGATAACAGCTCATAAAATCGATAACGAACGAAACATTAACGTTCGAGAAAAAAGACAATGGATTGGGTTTGTTATTGAACAGAATTTGCTGGCTATAAATTACTACAATATAAATAAATAAAAAGCAAAGATAGTAAATGAATTTAATTCTAATTTCGCAAATGCGGCCTTTTTGAAATATTTATTGCCATATAAGAAGCTTTTGCTAAGCACAATTAGTTGGCTTGTGGTGGACTGAACACATTAATGCAGAACTAGTAACATATAATATAAAATAATCTGATTATAGCACAAAATGAAAACGAGGTGACATATATTTGTAAATTTATTTCAATTACAAAGAATTACATTTTGCTTCAAACTCGTGTTCTCATTTATTCCCTAAACAATAAATAAATTGATTGCTAATGAAGTATCGTAAGTTAATTTATTGCAGTGCCAAGTCAGCAGATATCTTTCCGCTGTTCGCAATATATATAGCGATTTTTGCAG